AGGAAAGAAGATAGTCAAAGGGAGAAATAATAACACCCATAATCCCAGAAATTTGGGAGGCTAAGCTGGGAGGATACCTTGAAATTTTGAGACCAGGAGCTTGAGACCAGCCTGGGCAACATAGTGAGATACCATTTCCACAAAAATTAAGAAATTAGCCAGGCATTATGGCTGCATCCTAGCTACTTAGGAGGCTGAGGTGGAAGGATCGCTTGAGTCCATGAGTTTGGGGCGGCAGTGAGCTGTGATCATGCCACTGCACTCTAGCCTGAGCAATAGAACAAGATTCTGTCTGTAAAAAATAAATGGAGAAAGTTGGAATGAGTCCGAAGGTGTTGCAGATTTTAAGATAGGAGTTCTCTGGGCAGAAGGAATTGGGGTACAATAATGTGGAATCAAAATAAATGAAAGAAGATATAAAAAGTGACCTATTGCATGATTCCATGTATATAAAATATCCAGAATAGGCAAATCTGTAAAGACAGAAAGTAGATTAGATTAGTGGTTGCATATCATGTTACCCTAACAGTCACTTCATCTCTGTGGACCTCAATATTTGTTATTCAAAAATCATAAAACTGACCTAAATTAGGACTTCTTACTATGACATTGTTGACATTTGGGGTTGATAATTCTTGTCTAGAGAGCTCCCCTGTGCATTGTAAGATGTTGAGTAGCATACCCAGATTCTCCTTCCTGGTTGTGACAACCAAAAATATCTCCAGACATTTCCAAGTGCACCCTGGAAGGCAAGATCACCCTGGGGGAAAACCAATGCTTGAAGTAATCTAGACTCTTTTATAGCCATGCTTTGGATGATTCTGAGGCCCTCTGTGGCTTTGACTAATGCAGAAGACACAACAGGTAACTTTTCAGTTATCAATACCTCTGAGAAATAAATGAGAAGTGTATTTGCCACCCACAGACTTAGGCTTCTCCTACACTAGTACCCTAATTCAGTCTCCCACGAACAATATAAAAATGGGATTTTTTTTGAACCAGCAGCTGTCTATGACTTCAGAAGCCCTTGTTTCCTTTCTATGCTTCCTTTGCTCTAATTTTAAAGTTCTCAAGATATACAGTGGAGAAAAACATGTCCATCGATTTCTAAAGATACTTTTATGTTTCACCTGCTAGCATAGAAGAGATGAGAACGGCTTTTGACATGCTCTAGATCTGAACTAGTCAACAACTGTGTGGTCTTAAATTAGCTTAAAATAACGCTCTTGAATTATTTCATAGCTCTATAGGTTAAAAGTCTAAGTGCAGTTGACTGGGTTCTCTGCTCAGAAACTCTCAAGACTGAAATAAAGATGTTTGCTGGGCTATATTTTCATCTGGAGGCTCTGGAAAAGAATCTGCTGTTTCAGAGCTCATTCAGGGTGAGGGAAAAATTAAGTTCTCTGCAGTTGTAGAAATGTGGTCACTGTGACCTTAATTGTCAACTGAGGACTAACCTCAGTTCCTAGAGGATACCCACTTTTCTTGCAACTTTCCCCTCTTCGTTTTCACTCCAGAAATGGTGTGTTCTATCATTCCCATACTTAGAATGTCCCTTGCTTCCTCTTCTGCCACCAGTCTCAGAAAGTTCTCTGCTTTTAAAGGACTCTTGTGATTATGTCAGGTCCATACAGATATCACTGTATCTTAATGTCACATATTTTGCCCTGCAAAATCCTTGTTGCCATGCTACATAGCTTAACCATTAGGGAGTAACACTCATGGGTGACAGTCATGAAGACTGTCTTAGAATTCTCCAACTATACATAATTTATAAAGTGATGATAACAAGCCCTCTCTTAGAGAAATGTTAGGAAATAAAGCATATGTCATTGTTCTCTTTCAACACCAACTGGGTGTGCTGCAGTTTCAAATCTAACAGTAACCATCCTGAGTCAACGTCAGACTCCCCAAGTTTAAAGAATCTGTCATACTCTGAATTAAACAGTAGAGGCAAGGCTGCTGTCTGAGAGAATACAACTCACAGGGCTTAGAAAACATTGTGCCAAGTGGAATAATACAGGTACAAAAGAAGAAACATCATATGGTTCCACCTATATGAGATGGCGAGAATATTCAAATTCATATAGCCAGAAAGTAGTGATTGATAGGAGTGGGGGAGGGTAATGGGGGCTTAATGCCTAACAGATACAGAATTTCAGTGTCAGATCATGAAAAGTTCTAAAGTTCATTGTGGTGATGGTTGTACAACAGTTAGAATACACTTATTGTCACTGAACTGCATATTTCAAAATGGTAAAAAATTAAAAGTTAAATTTATGTGATGTATATTTCACCATAGCAAAAAGGGAGGAAAGAGAGTGGCCTACCCTAAAAGTAAGTTTGTGACATGAATACCTTATTATAACATAGAAAGGAATCTAAAGTCATGGAGATTGGCACATTATATAAATTTTCTTGTTATCCAACACATGAACTCCCAAGGAAACCTGAAGAAGGGGTCCAGAGGCTGTGGTATTCACCAAGAGATAGAGAAATATGATAGCAATGGGTGCAACATCTTCCTTGGAAGGCTCTGTAGTGGTTGACTTCTGTATGACAGTTCATGTGGAAGACACTGAATTCTAAGTTCTCTGAATTCTCTGGGGAATAGCATCCTAAACTGATGGGCATCACACAAGGAATTTATTGTGAAATCCATTGTTAATGTTAATGTAAAAAGACAACCATTTTGTTCCAAACTGATTGAACTACAGGAATTTTTAGAAAAGGCAATTGATTATGTCGTCCCCATAAATAAAAGTGATGGGCATCTTATTAAGATCCCATGAATTTGTATAACTAAGCAAATGCTTAGAGTTTATAAAAATATTCTTGGTCTAAGTCATCAAGAATGAAGAGCCACAATATGTCACTTGATTCTCTGTTTTGCAACTGTTTGCTGATCCAGACCCTCAAATGGTGTGATAAGATAATGTTGAGAAAAGACTAAAACTGCACCGGATGAATGTTCTATGTTTTCCTCCTAACCTTACCCAAAGGCATTAGTGTGTTGGAACTGACTCCAAACAGGTCATGAGGTCAGATTCTGCACATCTCATCCCACTTCAAGGTCAGTAAAGTCACTGGTAGACTGAAATTGACCAAGGTGGGAGTATTTATGTTATGGAAGTTAGAAAAGTCTACAATTCTGCACTTTCATTCCTTTCACTTTTAATTTTTCTTTCCTTCCTCCATCCTTTCTTGTGCGTGTGCAGTTGTCTTTTTCTGTAGAACGATTTATGTTCCTCCGGGTATATTCCCAGGAGAAGTATTGCTGGAATGTATGGAAGGTCAATTTTTAGTTCTTTCAGGAATTGCCACACTGCTTGCCTTACAGGTTGAAATATCCTCCATTTCCACCAACAGTAGAAGTATGCCCTTTTCTCGACACCCAAGCCAGCATCTATTGGTTGTTTTGTTTTGTTTTGCTTATTGATGAGGGCCATCCTTACTGGAGTTAGGTGGTACCTCATTGTGGTTTTGATTTAACAGAATGCTAGGCCTGGTTCAATGTCTCTGCCTGTAATCCCAGTACTTTGGGAAGCCGAGGCGAGTGAATTGCCTGAGCCCACGGGTTCAAGAACAGCCCGGGCAACTTGGTGAGGCCTCATCTCTACAATAAATAATTAGCCAGGTGTGATAGTGCATGCCTGTAGTTCCAGCTACTTGGAAGGCTGAGGCAGAAGGATCGCCAGAGCCCAGCAGGTCAACACTAGTGTGGCCATGAGTGTGCCACTGCACTCCAGCCTGGGCAACAGAGTGAGACTCCAACTCAAAAAATAAAATAAAATAAAACAGAATGCTAATGTTCAAAGGGACCTGTGGATCCATACAACCCAGCAATCCCCCTTCTGGGAATATACCCGGAGGAACTCAAATCACTCTATGAAAAAGATACCTGCACATGTATGATCATTGCAGCATTATTCACAATAGCAAAAATACTGAACCAACTGCACTGCCCATTGAAAGTGGACTGCATAAAAAGTAATGTGGAATTTTATGCAGCCATAAAGCACAAAATTAAGAACATCGCAGCAACTTGGATGGACTGAGAATCTATAATACTGAGTGATCTATCACAGAAATTTCTGAGTACCACATGTACTCACTCATAAGCAGGCCCTGAACAATTATCATAATTCCATAAGGGATTGTCAGTAGTGGGAAACTGCCAGGGGAGGGAGGAGAGGGATACACTTCATCAATAAGAGTACCTGATCTCAAACCAGGTGAAAGAGAAACCAAAGTGAGGCCCAAACTTTACCTGTACAATGACTATTTGGATACCTAACCCTGAATTGTACCCACATCTTTAAAATAAAATTCTTCAAAAAAACAAAAAATATTCAGTAGCAATGCATCTCTGAGGTAATCTCAAAGACTAGTGACACCATCAGTACTGAAATACCACTGGCTGTAATTACTGCTATAGCCACTACTTAATTTATGTTTTGGATAGTGCAGAAGAAAATCAGATATAGGAGAGTGAATGGGAATTATTTTAAATTTCAGCAGGTGATGACTCCTGTTGCTTCTGCCATTGCAGATGTGATCACTTTCTGAAGTGGGTTGACACAAATCCTGGAAACTGGTAGATAGTTTCTGATATAATGAATGGTTTTTCTTCAAGAGCAGATTCTGTGAGGGGCAGCTTCTTTAATCTGATGAGGACAGATATACTCATTTGTTCCTCAGGCCCTTCCTGTAGTTATAAATACTCAATTTCCTGTATTGAACATTTTCCTGCTGAAAATTCATGCAGTGTATTCTATTTTCTACACTGAACTCAAAAAAATATAATAAAAGATTTTAAAATCTGAAGGACATACAGAATAAACCATTGCTTATGATGTATAAAAAAACAAAGAGACTGAACTTTGTAAATAACATAAATTGTATATTATTTCTGTAAACTGAAAAATTTATCATGATTTAGGTCTTCCTGGTATTATCACTGTTACACATGAACAGAGTTGTAACTTCCAAGAATCCCCTCATGTAGAAAATATTTTTTTGCTGAAGAGTTTATTAAGGGCTTCCTTTATGTCCTTATTTTTAAAACTGTAGATAAATGGGTTTAGCATGGGTGTTATAACAGTGTACATTACTGAAGCTATTGCACTTGCCCTGGGGTTTTGTGTAGCAGCAGAACTAAGATACACTCCAAGGCTTGTGCCATAGAACAAGGAGACCACCGAGAGGTGAGACCCACATGTGGAAAATGCTTTATACTTTCCCCCAGCTGATGACATTCTCAAAATAGAGGTTACAATCTTAGAGTAAGAGAAGAGGATACCAGTGAGTGGAATCACACCTATGATTCCAGCTGCAAAATACATCACAACATCATTGAGAAAGGTGTCAGAACAAGCAAGCTGAACCAGCTGATTAAGTTCACAGAAAAAGTGGGAAATTTCCACTTCTGTACAAAAAGATAGTTGCAAAACCATTAAGCTCTGTGACAAAGACTGCAGGACAGTGATGATCCAGGAAGTCATAAGCAGGAAGCCACAGACCCAGGGGTTCATAATGATTGTGTAGTGCAAGGGGTGACAGATGGCCACAAACCGGTCGTAGGCCATCGCGGTCAGGAGGAAGGTGTCCAAACCTCCAAAAAGCATGAAAAAATATAACTGAGTAATGCATCCTTCATAGGTAATGACTTTGCTCTGTGTCTGGATGTTCACCAGCATCTTTGGGACGGTGGTGGAAGTGAAACAGATGTCAGCAAAAGAGAGATTTGAGAGGAAGAAGTACATGGGTGTGTGGAGGTGGGAGTCAGTCATTATGGTCAAGATGATGAGCAGGTTTCCACCGAGGGTGACCAGGTACATGGACAGGAACAAGCCACAGAGGAAAGGTTGCATTACTACCTCTTCTGAGAGCCCCAGGAGGATAAAATCTAAAACTCGTGTTTGGTTTTCTGGTCCCATGTAACTGATGAAATTGCTGGAAAAGAGACAGAAGAGATGCAAATATAGAGACAAGCAACATTTCACAAGTTAGCAGAAGTTTTGCTGTTCATCTTTAAACACAAATTTAGTAAATCAATTCCTATATATTACATATAGAACTTAACTGAAAAGTCAGGGAATCCCCGATACCTCATTTTCTCTTTGGTGTTGTCACTGACTAGCTATCATACTCCTTTGCCTTCAATGTTTGTCCAGGGCAATATTTTCTTCTACAAGTACTCTGGGACTTCCTTTTGTTCCTTCATGAAATGTTTTGACCAATTATTTTGTGCTAAGTATAGCTGAAGGTACTGGAAACAGATATAAGGTTAATTTTTTAAAAATCTTTTTTCTTAACAAGTTGTATTATAGAATATACATACACGTGTGTGTGTGTGTGTGTGTGCACGCGCGCGTGTTGAGATGGCAACAAAATATCAATACATCAAATTATGTCATGTGGTTATTATTATCCTTAGTAAAATAATGCAGGTGAAAGGTATTACAATATGTGAAGGGAAGTCTTTTTTGTCTAGTCCAATTAAAGCCTTTTAAGGAGACAATATGAGAGAAGTGGGAATGTAAGCCAAGATTATGTCTGGGAAGAATATATAGGGAAGAAAAAAACCAGAAGGAGCATTTCTAGTACCATGAGGGAACATCAAGGAAGATGATATGACTTGAGTGAGAAAAACAATATGAATCAAAGCTGTAGATAAGCTCAGAGGAGGAGAAGTTACATTTTTCTGTTTCTGTTGAAAGCTACTAACACATGAGGTCCTATATTTGAGTTGCTGCTATTTAAATGCATTTTCATATTATATTACATTGTATCATGTATTGAATAATACCATCTATTATATGTAGTTGTATGTGTTCTATAATGCATATAAAGAGTACAGAATTAATTCCTCCATCAATTACATTTTCTGTAAAAAAACTTTTAACTGACATATAATAATTGTACATGTTTGTGGGGTACAGTGGGGTGTGTTGACACATATATACATTGTGTAATTATCAAATCAGGGTAACCAGCATATTCATCACCTCAAACACTTATTACCTATTTATAGGGGGAGCATTCAAAATCCTCTCTTCTAGAGATCTGTAATATACAATAAATTATTGTGAACTACATAGTGTCCCTGCTGTGTGATAAGTGACCAGAAATTATGTATAATAGAAGTAGTTTGATGTAGTCAATTTATCACAAGGTAACAGGTTGATCTCCCTGGGGAATAATGCCATATCAGGCACTTGGTGTTGGTCTCTGACGCTGGCAGATCGGACACTTAGCAGTGGCCATAGCCAAGTTAGCCTTGGTGAATGGAAGTCCTTGTTGCTAAGTGCATGCAAAACCTTCACTCTTACCACCATGGACACTTATTCCTTGACCCATCGGTGAGGAACAGGGCTGTCTGAAAAAAGAGACTGACTAGTATCCACAGAACAGGTCATCCTATTCACTTGGTTACTAAACTCTTCCTCTGTTGAAGTTACCTTTTGGTGACTATTCAAACTGGACACAGATGTCTTTGTTTTTGCCTACCAGAGATCTATTCAGTGCCTCTTTGCCAAATTTCCTTGTCACCAAATTTCCAATCATGTTTCTTCCAGGTCCTTGACTATCCAGTCAAATCGCTGGCCACAAACCACACATCAGTATACAATGACATGTCTGCCTATTTCTCCTTCCAAATAAAGTGAAGAAACAGGTGCACTGCTTGAAGGTCTGCCTACTGACTTGATTTCCCTTCACCACTGTCCTTCAAGCATATCCCAGAAAGAGTCGGTAGAGTTGGAAATTTCTGCTTGTGGGTGATGCCTGCATATTGTCCAGAAGTATCTGTAAAGCAGGTCCAGGTCTTCTCTTCCTCCATCAACTTATTTTAGTGAACTCCCCAAGATGGCATAGGTGCAGGCTGGGAAGCAGAAAGCAGTGTGACAGGAGTGGGGACCATAAGCATTTGAGTCACTCCATATGACTTATTTGTACCTTCAAGGCCTACTCAAGCTCAATCACATATATACTATATATATACTATTTCCATCTAATGATGGAATGAGGCTGAACACCCAACTTTATGGCTTGGTGGGTAAGATAACACTCAGTTCATGATAGAAAGTTCAGGTTGAATGACAGTTTGGTCTACAGTTAAGTGCTCAGTCTCTACCAAGAGCTAGTAGCAGACCAAGAGCTGGTTCTTGAAAGAAGAGTCATTTTCTGCAAGGTATAGCAAGGTTTTGCTCCAAAATCCTCAGGAACAATGCTTCAGTTCACCTATACGGATCTGCCAATGGCTCCAAACAGCACCATCTGCCACTGACACCTTAAGCACCATTGGATCTTCTGGGTCATAGGGTCCAAGTGACAAAGCAGCTTGCAAAGGAGCTTGGACTCTTTGCAGGGTCTTCTGTTCTGGGCCCCACTCAAAACTAGCAGATTTTCAGGTTTCTTGGTAAATGAGCCATGGTAACACACCCAATAAGAATGTGCTATGTCCAAAATCCAAATAGGCACACTAGGCATTGGCCGTCTTTCTTGACTGTAGAAGGGGCCAGGTGCAGCAAGGTTAAGTTGCTGAGAAGGGATATCTAGATGTACTCCCACACCACTAGATATCTAGGAGTTTCACTAAGGTAGAAGGTCTCTGAAATTTAGTTGGATTTATTTCCCACTCTGACACACAGCTGTCTAACTGATAAGTCCAAAGTAGTTGCTACCTCACACTCACTAGTTCCAATCAGCATAATGTCATCAATATAACAGACCAGCATAATATGCATCTTGTGGAAGAGAAAGGTGATCAAGATTCCTGCTAAGGTATGACATAAGACAAGAGAGTTTATATACCCTGAGGCAGGATAGTGAAAGTGTACTGCTGGCTTTGCCAGCTGAAAGGAAATTGCTTCTGGAGGACCATATCGACAAGTGCATAGAAAAAAGTATTTATCAATAGCTGTGTACCAGGTACCAGGTAAAGTGTCAATTCACTCAAGTAATAAAGTCATATTTGGTTCAGCAGATACACTAAGCTATACTTACAGTAATGACCTGGTTAATCTTATCATAACTCACTCTCATTCTCCAAGATCCATCTATCTTCTACAAAGGCCATTAGGCGAGTTGAATGGGCATGTGTTGGGAATCACCACCCCCACATCTTTCAAACCCTTGAAAGTGGCACTAATCTCTGCATTCCCTCCAAGAGTGTGATATTGCCCTTGGTTTACTATTTTCCTAGGTAGAAGCAGCTCTAGTGGCTTCTGCTTGGCCTTTCACACCATAATAGCCCTCCCTTCACAGGTCAGAGGACAAATGTGAGGATTCTGCCAGCAGTTGAGTATACCTATCCCAATTATATAATCTGAAATGGGGACAGTAACCACAGGATGAGTTTGGGGGCACACCAGCTTCACCCTGAAATGAACCTGAGCTAAAAATTCATTTATCACCTGGCTTCCATAAGCCCCTACTCTGACTGGTGCGTCACAGTATAGTTCAGGCCTCCTCAAATTAGTGTCAGTTCAAAACCAGAGTCCAGGAGTTCCTAAGAAGTCTATTTCCCTTTCTTCTGTGTTTAATTACCCTGGTAAAAGGCTACAGGTCCCTCTGGGGAAGGTTGGAAGAAAAAAATAGCTGTATAAATTTTTGATAGTGAGCGGGGCTCAGTGGCTCAGCCTATAATCCCGCGCCTTGGGAGGCTGAGGTGAGTGAATTGCCTGAGCCTGTGGGTTCGAGACCCGCCTGGGCAACTTGGTAAGACTTCATCTCTACAATAAATCAAAAGTAGCCGGGCGTGGTAGCACGCGCCTGTAGTTCCAGCTACTCAGAAGGCTGAGGCAGAAGGATCGCCGGAGCCCAGCAAGTCGAGGCTGCAGTGGCCAGGAGCGGCCACTGCACTCCAGTCTGGGCGACAGAATGAGACTCCAACTCAAAAAAAAAAAAATGTTGATAGTGTTCCAGGGTGCATCCTCAGAGGAACCCAGCCTCTCCTTTATTCAAGGGGGTCTGGGTTTATAACATTGTTCAAGCCTGGAAATTGATAGAGGAGTCATGACTCTCTTTTCTCATTTTTATTTTAGATTCAGAAGGTACACGTGCATGCTTGTTACATGGACATATTGTGTAGTGGTGAGGATTGGGTTTCAGGTGACCCATTCTTTAGATAATGACCATTGTACCCAAGAGGTAATTTCTGAACCTTAATCCCTCTTCCCACCTTTCTCCTTATTGGTGTCCCCAGTGTCTCTTGTTTCCATCTTTGTGATCATTTAGCTCCTGCATACATGCAGTGTTTTGTTTTCTGTTTCTGGTGACTCTTTTTCATTATCTATTTGTTCACTTGGCCTAGAACTTTTCTGATTATGTAGACCAAGTAAAAATGTAGTAGTTCTTCTATAAATTGCACTTCTAGGAACACTATGATCAACTAGCCAATACCATACATCTGTATGAGTCAGACTATCACGGTGGCTGCTTTGACTCTGCTGCCCATTACAGTAACCACACACATTTTGCTTTTGTTGGTTGAATGCCATCTGCCAGTCTGGAATCTAATTATTCCCATTGTATGTGGCTTTCTGAATTCATTGACTGTGGTTCCATTGTCAGATCTGGTCTATAAAGAAGAGTGATCACAGATCTCTTTAAGGATGCTGGGGCTCCCCTCAAAAACTTATTTCCCACAGCTGTGGTAAAAGGTATGTCTTCTGAACCCTCCAGCGTGTACAAGTATGTCTTAAATGACAAATCCACTCTGACATTTCAATCTCCCTAAGCCTTCCCCTACATTAAAGCCAAGGGAGGTCACCTTTAAGTCACTCACTGTGGGTCACCTTTTGGTCTATGTTTCATTAAATGAAACAAATGGTTAGACCCCTTTCTAATTTTCCAATCACAACATTGAATGCAGAATCTCTTCTTCATGAGTCCATAGAAAAACACCGCAGCTCACCCAACTGTATGTTACTTC